CATGGTTGTGCTATTGGATTGCCGAGTATGAACGTGTAAGGTCCTCTAAGGTTCAATTGTATTCGAGGTGAACCACTTAAGACAGTTTCTGTGCAGTGTCGGATATATACAAGGTAGTACGTACTTTTGTCACCGACGTAGAGGCGATTAAACCGGTCATCAATGTCTTCTTTCTGCAATAACAAGTATAGATATTACTCTCGTCTTTCTCTACCTTTTGTAAGATAGTTGATATCCCTTGCAGTATCATGTTATGTTATTATTCATCGCTTTTGTAAAATGCGCACACCATATGGTAAATCCAATGGAATTCATAACTAGCAGTATATCTGAACCCAAACACTTGGTCTGAATACTATTTTGAGATAACCTACTTCTGCCTTCTACCCCTTAATAATGACTAGTTTGGCTGACGCGCACTATTGCGCGCATTGTACGGCAAATCTTAGGGGACTGATCACTGACAGGACATCAGCAATAACTGTAGCGAGCCCTTTGCCTGGCTTGGCCCAACTGTTTTGAAAAGCCACCAATCATTTTATTTCCTTATAGCAGGGCCTGTTAGGGATTGATACTTATTTACTGTCAGTCACCAGCTTCATAAGGTCCACCACAGTATGTGCGCAGTAGTGTGCAGCAGCCGAACTGGTTTGTTCATTCAGCGCTAATTGTTCTTCTCTTGTTTTGTCAGCTTAGGGATTACCACTACGTAACGTTAACGTTTGAAAAGTCCTGTCCACGCCAGTACTTCTCAGCTGCCTTGTTACTATGTGTGTGAAAGTTACTACATATGTATGCTACTTTTCGTACCTACGTAAGTACGTTACTTCTATATGTATGTTACTTTTATACAGAATTACAGCTGAGCAGGTCAGTCGCCGCGAAAAACGCGCAAGAGCTGCTGGATTCGTACCAAAAATGCTCTAATCAACTTACGCGATTGTGAGTTACAACATTTGGGGCGAGTAACCAAAGTATAATGGTCTTACCTCATCGGAATAAAGACCGACACGTATACCTTGGTGACGAGCGATTTCAGGTTCACACCTTCCCAAGATCTCCATTACAAGCTGGAATAATCCCTTTGAACCAATGGGCTCTTCAAAACAAGTAGTACTTCCATCGCCCATCTCATTCGGTTCTATCTCTCTTTTCTCACCGCACATTAGAATGTGGAGGATACCATGTTAGTGCCTGGCAAGCTACGCGTGGTTTCACATATGGCGAAAACAGCAAAAGCACTGAGCCTCACACCTCTGAATTCGGGGGAACCGCCTACGAAGCAGCGTTGGTTGGAACCGCACGGGAGGCTGCTAGAATCTCAGGGTGCAACAAAGAAACAAGCTGCTCAAGAATAGGATAGCTATTGGTACTTTCAAGCTTGGATGCTTGCATCCGAAGCTTACGCCGACGATTTCATGATATAAGCTGAGGAGATCATGTACGACGTCATCGGAATGACCCAGGAACGCACAGCCCGCTACGCACCATCTACGAGAATGGAGAACTGCTCCTCGGAACAAGCGACGGCAGAGGCGTTGGCGGTGCGGGTAACTTCGTCAACACGCACTTGGCCATGAACATCGATTCGTACAAAAACCTGACGGTCCGAGTCGGAAGATTGCGCAATTGCGAATGACGAATTGTGGCTCAACTCCCGCTTCGACGCACTTTTCGCCGCCTAGGCGTTCAGTTACGACTAGGATGAGCTCGAATCATTCTGAATGCAACTGGAGAAGTTCTACAAGGAAAGCCACACCTTCGTCTAGGCCATTGTTGGAGACTTCAACGCTAAGTTTGACCTCGGAGGAAGAGCTTCGCATAATGGAATGAGGTGGAATGAGTAGGGTGAAAAATTATCTGAGCCATCATGTCGACCCTTAACATCCATGGAAACTCGCACTTCCAAAAGCCCCATTCTCTAGCCTGGACCTGGAAGTCTCCTGGTGGAGATCGATCACACCATCTTCAATCGAAAGTCCCATCGGGCCGGATTCTTTGTCGTTTCAAACTTCTCCGCGGGATCAGATCACCGCATCGTTCTCGCTTTTCGATGCGAGGAGAGACAGGAGCAAAGTTCGAGAAGTAAAGTCTCAACGCTGTCATGACACCACTTCACTCCTCTAGATAGGCTTTGGGATGACTCTTCATCGACACGACATCGACGAAAATTATGAACAGCTTGTTATACATTTCTACGATAGCGCTAGGAAGTACGACACTTCCGAGGCATCTAGAAGCGCGATTACGTTTAAACTGACGGACAAGTTCCAGCCGACGTCCGAGCTTGCGAAGCTATGCAAGGGGTTGTAGAAGACTTCAAAGAGAGAAGAGCAAGCAGTGCTGGTAGAAGCAGCAAAGACTGGCCAGAGCATCCACAACGCTTGCCGCGACCTCATCCATAGTAAGAAGAAGATGATCGGCCTTTGACGTGCGGAACAATAACTGCATTCTAAAAGCCGTTGGAGATGTCATTTACGACTTCTACCCCAACCCTCTGACAACCATGTCCACCTCCCATGCACCACTTGGAGACACGAAGCAAGGAATTCAGCTTCTTGTTTCACCTGGAAGCCCACTAAATCTTTTGATAGCTGCTTAGTGATAATGTAATTGGTATGTGCCTCCCATTGAAGATTCCTGTTCATACTTTGTTACTGCTTGTAACGATGTGTTTTCATATGTCCTGTGCAGTCGCCGCGATCTTTTCACACTGATCTTTGACCATCGATGATTTATTTGCAGACCGTGCACTTCCCGATTGGAGCGGTTAATAAGGGCCCTATTTTGAGCGTTCAAGGGCGCTTCGTCCCGTTTTTGCCTTAATGTCCACACTACGTTTTTTACCTACAGAGTACCGTCTTTTTCCGTATTTTGTAGAGAACCAAATTATCGTGCCCACTGCCTCTAAAACAAGCAGGTATACTTAGATTGGAAGTTTGCGGTTATTTTCTGTTTTTTTCTCTTTTTACCTTACAGGTACCTTGCCCATCGACTTTTGTTCCTGGAACCACACTACCCTAGGACTGTATTCGCAAGCGGTGGCTTTAATCTGAGGTGGTAAACAGTTTACCTGTCTTTTATCGTACTGAGTAGAAGTGATTGTTAAGGGGATACGATGAGTCTCATTTGAATGGAATTCTGCTCTATTCCGCTGAATGTCATTTGGAATTTGCCAAGGACCAACAAGCGTCGAAAACTGAAATAGGAACAATGAGGAGCATCATCATCACATAACGTCGCAGACTATTTATACCCTGTCGACTACTCCGTCCCTTAGATTGAACTCATTCATGGCATATTCGGCCATAAGGCACATCCCATCTACATTGCCAAATGTTTGTACAGCGGCTATGAGAAAACGTAGTTCCTGAAATTAGTACTTCGTTTGAGCGCTACACAATTCCTATCCACCAGCTTACGCATACCTAACAATAAGGTCTGTTCCCTTCGTGAGAGAAACAACAGTGCACAATTATTTTAAGACGAAAATGCGCCAGGGCTCGTGAGCTTTGTAAGTTGAAAAATATGATATGTCACGTTGATTCACTAAACAGGGTACAGCATCGTTGTGTGAACACATGGGGGGGGGTCGTACATGGCCGCTGGGGGGTGCATTTGGTCGTTGTTGGGAGAGAGGGGTATGTGGCTTTGAGAGAAATTTCGCCGCGTTGGGGAAGGTTTTCCTCGGTTGTTGACTTTTCGCGTGATTTTTTCCTTTTTCATGTGTACTATATATCAACTCCGCCCGCCCATCCCCTCTCGTTCGACAGCAAAACTGTTGGGGGAAAGTAGAAATATTTTTGGGAAACTGCGGGAAAAGTGACAAGAGGTTGGAAAAACTCTAGGGAATTTCCCTCGTGGTTTTTCAAGTTTCACATGTGCTATTTACATCCCATCTACTTTCGTCCCCCCCCATTCGACGGAAAATCTTTGGGTGAGAAACTAGAAAATGTGGGAAGTGGGTAGAGGTGTTGGGAAGAGGGAGTCGTACCAAGACCCTCCCCTGGGTGAGGGGTCGTAGCAAGGCCCTCCCTCGAGAGGGTTGTACTGACACCTCCATTGCACACATCACGAAGGTCTCCCTGGTTGGAGAACATGAAACTGCGGCGCCAGAGACCATACACATTCAGTGAGTCACCCTCTTCTCGCTCCTTAGTACCTGAGAGAAAGGTCCTTCCAAAGTAAGCTGTAATCAGCCACTTCTGCGTCGGCACGAAAAATGAAACCGGCGTATTCATTGCTTCAAGCGGCTTATCATATCTCATTATCGGTAGAGAGGACTGTGCACAGATGTCCTCTTACCTCATAAGGCGTTACAGACAGGGCACGCCATCGCGTTGAGACCGTTTCCTGGGAAACATGACCCCCTATTTCTATCCTCGAATGCGACCCCCCCTCCCCATGCTACCTACCATTTTCCTAGATTCTCCCAACTTCCCTACACTTTTTCCATTCCGAAAAATTTTCTAGTTTTTCCCCAAAATTTTGGCTGAGGGGGGGAGGTCGTCAGGATTTCAACTATCATTTTCAACTATCGGAAATAGTAGTTGTATAGATCTTTGGCAGTCCCTCTCTCAACAACGGCCAAATACGACCCCCCCCCCTTTATAGCGTCCGTGAAACAAGAGAAATCAACTACCAAAAAATTTTTCTCAGACCAAATACGACCCTCCTACCTCGCGGTCAGATACGACCCCCCGTGTGATCATCACAACGATGGCGTGCCCTGGTTACAGAGCAGAATGTGCACCTTTATCTTTTCCGTACATCCGTCGGTCTGTGTGAGAATAGCTTCACGAACCATTGTGCGGTCAGTTTCAAATTTACCAGCAAGCAGCTGGTCGAGACAATCACTTCCTAAACATTTCTCTCTCTGTAAAATTCATACTACTGGAGGAATGGGGACTGAACGGTGAACTTTAGTACCGTCTTCTGTTGTGTTGATTGGTTGTGAGACGGGGAAAAACTCGTCCTCTTCCACTTCATCATCTGCCACGAAGGGTAAACGGCGGAAATCTTCAGAACGCTGTTCAGCCCTACGGCGTCGTCGTGAACTGAAAAAGGTACTGAATTAGACACAATCGGATTCACAGAGGCAAACGTAGCTGCAGCACCCTAATAACAGAGTATTTCTTTTATTGCATGTGTACCAGATCCCTCTCCATTTACATGAATGATTGGAGTAAGGCTTTTCGAGCTTGATCTTACTCAAGAGATCATTGTAAAGCTTCGTATGAATGCGTTCATATTTTACTATACAGGAAAACCGGAAAATCGGCGAAAGGGACGGTGTAGGTATCAACATGAAGGGTTAGAGAAACGCAAAATCGGCGAATCGGAGAATCGGTTAGAGAACGGATCAGAGACTGATCGTTTGACTCCGAATACCTAGAGACTTAATGACCTGGAGAGTCGAACAAGCGGAAAGTCCACAGATGAGAGAATTATGGATCAGCCTATATACAGGTGATTTTTTTCTACTCAATTTGATCGCCGATGCTCAAAGCTTTCCAGTGATGTCTATTCCAGGCATCGGCCGCAAACAGACAAGTATAATCATGTCCATCTTCAAGGTATATGACCACTGTATTTCAGATCGGCCCTCTGAACGTTGACCGATGAGAATGACCCTTTCAGCACCCTTACATATGGTATCAGGATCTTCGTTGAACATGTACGCAGCAGCAGAGGCGAGATGCGGCAAGGGAGGTGGCAGTCGGCTGGACTCTGATCTTCTCAGGAATGACTTCGTTCCGGATTCATTCACAGCGGATGCCCCAGCTCCATCAGAGCATTTCTATCCCCATAACACCATGAGCTCATGTTCCCTTCGCTGTCACATCTCGGCTCTACAGCTGGCGATTGGTCTTACGACTAATGTGTAGATTTTTGACATTAGGTAAACTGGCATGCTCTTTGACTTCAGGTGGATTGACATTCTATCGCAAAGAACGCCAACGGCAGCGCTCCGCTTGTGCCAGGCCGTGTTTATTCTAGCAAATGTGTCGTCTGCGGTATTCACATCTGCAGCCAAGGCAGATCCTATCTAATGTAAACTTCGTATTTACGGTAAGAGGCGTACCGTCCATCAAAAGTGGGAGGTTACTGTGGTAGTGAATATGCCTTCGGTTTTGTTGATGTTCAGCTTGAGTTCATGTGGAGTGAGATCCTTCTTCCATAGAGGCGCGACATTACGTGTTCTCAGAGCTGTCCCTGAGGAACAGGTCATCAGCCTATCATAATGTCTGAGGCAGCTATTTCCTGATACTCCTTGTCGCAAAACCAACATAGAATCGGCAACAGCGTGGAAAGGGCCGGTTCTTGGTATACATCACTGGTGAGTTGTGACGTGTCTCTTACAGGCGTACGGACACAGCTCGCTTTTACAAGCGTTTCTGATACTTGCTGATGTCGAAGGGGAAACAAATGAGTTTAGGGGCACACGGTCATAGGTTTTCTTCGAATCCAGAAAAGCCTATTGAAGTGCTTACTCCACTTTCAGACCTTTTTTATCCAGTCCGTTGGTGTGGTTCCTTTCTATATGCAAGTGAAGAGGAGTGTTAGATAGGAGTGACCTTTGAAAGGCTT